TAATATTTATTAATATTAATAAAATTAATATTCTTGAGCCTGATAGCATGATGTGTGCTCCTATTGTCCCAGCCACTTAAAGGCTGAGTTGGGAGGATTGCTTGAGCCCAGGAATTTGAGATCAACCTGGGCAACTTAGTGAGTCCTGCCCCCTCTTCCCCCCAAATGTGTTTTAATTTAGAAAAAGAAATGTACGGGGCTGAGAATATAGCTCAGTGGTAGAAGGCTTGCCTAGCATGCACAAGGTCCAAAGTTCAATCCTCAGTGCTACAAAAAGAAAAAAGAAACATACGACCCAAATAGCACATAAGGAAGAAATGTTATAAAGAGTGATGAGGTATTGAAAAATCCAAAGGGTTAGGTTCCACAGTTCTATCAAAAACAATAAGTGTAGGCTTAATAAGTTGGGACATTAAATAGGACATGGGTGTTAATGGACTTTATACATCTTTGGGCTGCAGTTTTGTTTTGTTTTGTTTTTGGTACCAGGGATCGAATTCGGGTCCTTGTGCTTGCGAGCTAAGCAGCCGAAGCACTGCCTAAATCCCAGGCCCTGGGCTGCAGTTTTGTAAAATTTTTCTAGGTATGAAAATTTTACAAGAAATATGCCTGTGGAGTCTCAGGTTGCTAAAGGCAAATGGTTTGAATTCCTTGGTTTCTTTTCATGGGAAATCAAGCTAAGAGGCTCTCTGTGTGTATTTGCATTGTACCTGCACATTAGGAAGCACATGGCAATGACTGTTTGAGCAGTTATGGAAAGTTTTGTATTGATAGGGACTTACTGAGTCTGATCCTGATTGATAAGGCTGGATTATTCCATGCATTTATTTCTTTTTACAGGCAGTGCTTTCCTCAGTGCTATTTTTCTTGCCTTAGCAACATACCAGTCTCTGTACCCAATCACCTTGTTTGTCCCAGGACTCCTCTATCTCCTCCAGGTAAGCACTTGCTGGTCAGAAGCCAGCACCCAGTGGCATTTAATTCAAGCCTGGCCCCTGCTGGGGGAAAGGAAGGACATGGGTCAGTACAGGCAATAGGTCCAGTCTCCTGTCTTATAACTGCTTGCTTCTACTTGAAAAGACAAAGACACTTGGCTAATTTTAAACAAAGTAGACCTAATAATCATTAAGTTTCTTTTTTCTTTCTTTCTTTTTTTTTTTTTTTAGTACCAGGAATGGAGCTCAGGACCTTGCACTTGCCAGGCAGGTGCTGTGCCTCTGAGCTACATCCCCAACCCCATTAAGTTCTAACTATGCCTATCTTTGCAAGCATATGAGAACGTTTAAATTTACATGTTTGTATTTGGGATCTACTAACCATTTTATGTACCTTACCTTTACCTTATGTACCTTTATGTATATAGATCCTCTGGGGTCATTTTTTTAACATAGCACTTATAAGGTTATTATAGAGACTAAATGTAATGGGTACACTTCATGCCGTGACAGGAGCATAGTATGTGATCAATAAATATTACAGTAATTAAAGTATGCAAATTGCTAACACCTATGGAGAACATACTGCATGTCAGGTAATATGCCAAGCTCTTTGAAGGAATCATCTCATATCAACCCTATAAAAACTCTGTGGAGCAGGTCATATTATTAGCTATGGATTAATCAAATATCCATATTAGACACATAAATTGAAACTGGAACGTTGGAGCTTAAATCAGTTACCTAAAGTCACATGGCTAATAAGTGATAACATTGAGATATGAATTCAGGCAGTTGACACCAGAGCTTGCTCACTAACCACTTCTCTTTTCTGCTCAAATAAGAATGCACACTTAGCTGGGCCTGGTGGCACATACCAATAATCCCAGCATTTGGGAAGGCTGAGACAGGAGGATTATAAGTATGAGGCTAGACTGGGCAACTTAGTGAGACTTTGTCTCAAAATAAAAAATAAAAAAAGAACTGAGGAAGTAGCTCAGTGCTAAAGCCCTGGGCTCAAACCCCAGTTCCACAAAAACAAAACAAAACATGGGCCGGGGATTTAGCTCAGTGGTTTCGTCGCCTGCTGCGCAAACGCAAGGACCCGAGTTCAATCCCTGGTACCAAAAAACCAAACCAAACCAAAACAAAACAAACCACACATACCTCAGGCTGGGGATGTGACTCATCAGTAGAACCCTACTTAGGATGCACAAGGACCTGGGTTTGATACCCAGCAGCCCACCCCCCACCAGCAAAAAAAGAAAGAGAATGCACATTTCTTCTATACCAAGTGACTATAGGGAGGATCCACATGGTTTAAATACATTCTTAGGAGATAAATGTTTGCTGAAAGTGTGCCAATGGCAGCACCAGCATCAGAGCCTTTGTTCTTAACCAAGACACTCCTCCTAAGGCTACCTGAATGCCTCTACTTGTTGAAACAGAACATATTCTTGTCATTTTAAGTGACTTGCTAATATAATACCATTGTGTTGATGTACAGAGGGATACATGGTTAGCTTGGTTTTTGCCTTGCTTGGGGAATTTGAAATATGTCTTCACTGTCACTAATACTGTATACATAGTGTGGAAATTTGTTACTCTTTAAATTGTTTCCCTAGGATGTATTCCTCCAGTTGAATCCCTGGACCCAAGGCTGTGAAAACCTTGTAGTTCTTATTATCCCTGACTGGATTGTTCAGAAAGCCTGAGCCAGTTTGCAGTGCCACCGTCTGTTTCCATAGGGAAGTGAACCAACAACCTCCCAGTCTGCCAGCACTGGCTTTTTGAGTTTATGATTGTTAGTCCAATAGATGTATTACCAGGGAGTTTTATTTGTTTGGTTGAAGTACTTGATGAAGTTATTTTGCTTTAATTTTCTTTCTATATTCTTGAATCCAAGCATTTTGCACTTAACACTATGCAATCTGTATTTTATTTCTTACTTATGAAGTAGTTTGTTCTTTAGAAAATCTGAGCCCTAAGGAGAATGCATCCAGTGAGACTTTCTGTGTAACTAGTTATCAAATAAATAATGTAGAATAAAAGACTTAGGTGTAGCTCAGTGATAGACTGCTTGCCTAGCATGTATGAGGCCCTGGGTTTGTTTTCTAGTGCCACAAAAACAAAACAAACAGAAAATATTTAAATATGATTTATTTATACACAGTGAACTGAGCAAAGATTTCAAAATGGTTTGTTAGGCAAGTTTCTAAACACTGCTTTATATAAAATAACTTTAAAACTCATAGAAAAACTTTTTTAAACTCAAAGGCAACAGTGAACAGTACAACTGAGTCATGAAGTCAGCAGCTCAGTCAGTTACTTTAGTTTCCCCCAGATCTCCAGGGCTATTTACTGAGTGACTACAGTGTGCTGGGCACCAGGCAAGACTCTGGAGATAAAGCATTTGAAGTTACTGAATAACAAAGATTGCTCTGGTATGCAGCCTGTGGGATGGATGTCAGTAGGAGGCACTGGACCTGGGAAAGGTTAGACCATTATACTTGCTCAGGTTACAGATTTTTATGTTTATTTGTTTGTTTGGTTGAGGTACTTGTGTATTGAACCCAGGGCCTTTGCACTGAGCTACTTTAGCCCTTTTTATTTTTCATTTTGAGACAGAGCTCTGCTAAATTCTTAGCCCAGACTGGGCTTGACCTTGTCATCCTCTTTCCTCAGCCTTCCAGAGTACTGGGATTACAGTCATGCATCACAATGCCTGGCTAGGACAGGGGTTGAATGGGGGCCTAAACCAATGTTAGGGGAAGTGGAGAACTGAGGGGAATTCTAGGAGGTAGAATGGGCTGGGTTGGCAGCAGTCTGTATGTGGGGAACAGGAGTAGGAGGAGTTTGAGATAAATTTTAGGACTCTATGTAGAAATTACAATCCCAGGCCAAAATGTATTCATGTGAATACATTATGTAAGTATTTGAAGTGATCTAAAAAGTAGCAGGGCCTTGTGAGTCATGGTAGAGTATTTGAAAAATAAACTCACTTACGTCCAGAAAACAGACTTACCAGTTTAAATATGAGAGAGGGAACAGAAGAAGGAATTATCCTTTAGGCCTGAGTTTCACAGAGATGCTTGGGCTCCAAGGAGAGAAGCTAGAACTGATGAGCTCAGTGTAGGGCAGCTCTGTAGAAGAATGGATGTCCAAAGGAGGTGAGTTCCCTGTGAGTCATGTTTCTACAGTGGCTGAATAGCATTTGTTGGGGAGTCCTAACAATACCGTAAGTATTGGCACTGGTGGCTGGACTGGATGATCCTAAATTTCCTTCCAGCCTCTACCTTAGAATGGTTTGATAACCATGAGGATATGACGTCTGCTCTTGACATTGTGCTTTGCTCAAGAATTTGTTCAAGCCCCCTGTAGCCCACACTTTCCTCCTGGAAAGCTTGTTTAATGTATAGAGTGTGGAAGAACTCAGGCTTGACTGGGACATCTTGTTAAGATGTAAAGCTAGATGTAAAGATGTAAAGCTAGATGTAAAGATGTAAAGTCTCAGAGGCTAGCAGAATGTGAGAACACTGGAACCAACTCAGAGGACCTTTACTTGCTACATTTGGGGTATTCAGAGAATCAGAACAGTAATGATTGCAAGTAATTGTAGAACATTGAGTAAATTAAAACCCATGTGTCCACAATGAAGCTCAGGGGTGAGGGGAGAAAAATTTCATATCCATCATTAGATGTGGCTGTTTTTACTAATTATTTCTCCTCCTCCCTCTCTTCCTTCCTCCCCTTCTTTCCCTTTTCCCCCTTTTTTGTTCTTTTTGTTTTTTGAGACAGGGTCTTGCTATGTATTTCAGACTGGACCTGAACTGACTATATAGCCCAGGGTGACCTTGAACTGGCAGCAATCCTCCTGCCTCAGCCTCCCAAATGCTGGGAATACAGATGTGTGCTACCACTTCCAGTTTAGTTTTAATTTCTTATACTGAAAATAATTAAAAGGAAAAAACTAAGCAGTTACCCTGACTTTTATAAAAGAATCATTTTGATTTTCCACACTTTAAAATAAATAACCCAACTCGCATCACTCCCAGTGGAAGAGCCAGACATGTTGCACTTGTTAGTGTGATGCAGTTTAGGTACATGACATTAACTCTGAAGTATTTTTACCTAAAAAGTTAATTAAGCCTTTAGATCAAATTTCCAGGTTTTAGGAAAGAAAAGAGCAGAAGAACAAGTTAAATGATACACCACAAGGGAGCAGTAGGACAAACTGTAAGGCAGGTGGTTTGAGTCTCTTCAAAATATCAATGTCATGAAAAAGAAAGTGATCAAACTATTCTAAAGAAACAAAAGTGGGATGGGGAAGTCTCAATTGGCTTTTGGTTTAGAAAAAAACCAACTATAAAGTATATTTGAGGATGATCAGAAAATTTTGAAGATAAGTTAGATATTAGATGCTGTTAGACAACTGGTAATTTCTTGGATGTGATAATAGTATTGTGGTATGAAGGAGAGTGTCCATATTTTTCAGATCTACATGTAGAAATGGGAGAAGTGTCTTGATATGTACAGCTTTTAGATAGTTTGGCAAAAATTTATACACTTAGATAAAAATATTAAAGAGTTCATGTTTAATCTAGGTGACATAGTTGATTATTATATTGTTGGTTTTTCCACATGTTTGAAAAATTTTATAATAAAGAGTTAATAGAATACAGATTCTGACACCTTGGTTTGGACACTTAGCTCTGTGACCCTGGGGAAGTATTTCTTTCTCCTTTAGTTTCCTCATTTACAAAATAGCATAACAAGGCCTTCTTCAGATGGTTAATGCATGTCACGTCTCTTGAACAGAGTCTGTGAAGAGTGTAATAGGTAGTAGCCATGGTCATTAACATTCAGATGTTTGTAGAAAAGACATAGTTACCAGTCAGTAAATATACAAGGTGATGAAGGGAAAGGAAAATTATTCCTTTTCTGGAATCAAAGGAACTGTAAAATTAATTTGCATTTCCTCCTTAAACACTACAAACCTGCCT